ATAATATGGGTTGAGTTTGTTTGAATTTTGGTTCTACCATGTAAGATCTGCATAATCCCTGGCAAATTTCCTGAGATAAATTTCCTCATCAAAACAAGAAGAACTTCTACTTACCTAGGTTGTTTTGAGGAGTAGATGAAATAATACAGGATTCATGAAAGGTGTACTCTTGTTCTCATTAAACTAGATTTTCTTCTAAATTCAGATTAGATGCTTCTATAACAAGCATCATAGCACAATGCATAAATTAAATGTCAATAAAAATGCACTCGGCCAAAATTTAAAAAATGCTTTTATTATATCATATCTAATGATCGATTTGCTCGAGCGGGCCCAGTAACATCTCCATTGGAGACTTTGTTGTTACTGTGTCTGGCATATCGAATACTCTCAGTAGCTTGCCGGGCTCTCCGAGAGGGGCGGAGGAATTGAACTCGGGTCGGCCATGTTGGCCGCTTGTAAGGCGAATGCCCTACCGCTGTGCTATCACTCCAGCCCATATCTAATGATATGCAACATATTATAACACATTTATACTTCAAATTCTGACCTAAAGGCTAAGGTTTCATGAACTTTATTTATTTATTTTCTTTTTGGGTCACACCCAGCAATGCACAGGGGTTACTCCTGGCTCCTGCACTCAGGAATTCCTCCTGGCAGTGCTCAGGGAACCATATGGGATGCTGGGAATCAAACCCGGGTTGGCCACGTGCAAGGCAAATGCCCTACCCACTGTGCTATTGCTTCAGCCCCTCGTGAATCACTGTCACTGTCACTGTCCTCCCGTTGTTCATCGATTTGCTCAAGCGGGCCCAGTAACATTGTGAGACTTGTTGATACTGTGTTTGGCATATCGAATACCTGGTAGTTTGCCAGGCTTTGCCATGTGGGCAAAATACTCTCTCTCGGTAGCTTGCCAGGCTCTCCGAGAGGGGCAGAGGAATTGAACCCAGGTCGGTCGCATGAATATATACTTTAATTCTTCCATTTCACCATCCCTTTTAAAGGAATCTAGTGACTTGTATTACACTTGAGCATACTGATATCACAAGCTGTATGATTTATACCTGAAGAGAGATTGGTAAAATGCACATTAAATTAAACTGTCTATACCTCTCAAACCAAAGATTAGAGTTTACAATAAAAACTGATAACAGGAAGACTCCAAATAGAAACCTAGAAAAAGTTTATGTGTGCAACTGGGGGGATGTAGGTAGAAATTCTTTGCAAATCACATGGCCCCAAGTAAAAACTGAAACCCCTCAATCCCAAACTCATTCTAATTAAATTATCAGCTCTAACAGAGAAACAGAAAATAACCATGACCTTCAGAGCTGTAAGGATTGTAAGGCATTTTCCTTGCACACAACCAACCTAGGTTTGGTCTCTGCACACTTTATGATCCCCCGAGCTCCACCAGGAATGAGTTCCTAATTACAAACTCAGGAGTAATTAGGAGCACTGTGGGTGTGGCCCCCCCAAACAAAAACGCAACAACAAATTACAAGCCTCTTCTTAAGCAAGTTTGCTGTGAAAGTGCCCAGATGTAAGCTCTGAGCATCACTGGGAGTGGCCCTCAAACAAAACAAACAAAAAAAATTACAAGCTTCTCCTTAAGAAAGTCTGCTGTGCAAATACCCAGGCTCTACATAATTGCTGCTCATAACTCTAATGACTTGTGGTTTCTGTGCAAAAGGACCTTAGTTAAGATGCATGTTAAATCTTGGATCATCAAGATGACAATTTTCTTTATTTGAAAGAAGATACAAAGGTCTATTTAACTGTTTTTCCCCCCAATTGTTTGCAGTAAGAGAAATGACGGATCTGTTCGCAAGCAAGAAATACCCAGGTGGGTCCATGTCGTGGGCTGAGTATGAGGCCAGATGCAGAAATTGGAAAAAAGACAGAGATGGAGGCCTGAGAAGGACAGAGAAGTGACCGATGAGCATCTGCCCAAGTCAGGTTGCTGCAACCAGAACTGTGCTTGCGTGCAGTGTTCTACAGTGTTCTACATAGTCTGTCGATCTATGCCACTGTCCTGAGAGGTGCCAGTGAAAGGGAAGATGATGAACAAGTACACAGGTAGGCAAGTCCAATCATCTAGTGAAAAAAATCCACCTTAAGCATACCCACTCATTCCACAACAGAGAGTCTGCAGAGTTTCAATGCACCAGTCAAGGAAGACAGGCTGGAGCTTCACTGGTAACAAAGCAAAAACTCTCTGTATCTCATTGAGGACTCAGGACTTGGCCCCTGGGGCAAAGGGGATGTATTTCCATTGGAAGACAGTCAACACACTGAAAAACTGGCAAGAGCAATTGAGAAGAGTACTGGTGAGCATGGACAGACTTCAGGGTTGACTTCAGTTGATCTGCTTGCTTGTCTGACCAGTCTCTATTGAGGACAGCTGTCTGTGGCCTCAGCGCCCTTATCAATGTCAGATTTTATCTCAACGGAGATCGGAGGTGCCAAGAAATGAATCATAGAATTAACACTAAAGCCCTCCTAAGGAAATGGCCCCATCTATCATCATTATTATTCCATTTCTCCCTGCACGGAGTCTATCTGCCAAATCCACTCTCTGAATGAGAAAGAGCCTGGGATGTTATGGGTAAGAATGTAACCAAAGCCCCTTCTATCCAACACAGCTGTTGGCTGTCCCCCTAAGCATAAACCCGCCACTGTTACTCTCATGCATTTTCTCACTGTTCTCTCCTCCCTCCCTGGGAAGCCTCAAAACAATTCTCTGAGAATCTGGCAGCAAGTGCAGAGGGGCTGACCATGACCTCAGGCAAAGATAGGAGACAGTATCAGGGCTCCCAAGACACTTGCACTGGCCAGAGCCTCAGGGAGCATCTTGCTCAATGTCCTCTCCTGAGTGACCTGGAATCTGAGAAGGATGAGGAGGCCTTGCCTAGAGCCAGATGTCAGTTGAGAGGCCAGGGCCCCGCAATGTGCTGACACGCCATCCACATCCTCTTCCTTCCACTACAGCTGAAAGCAGGAACCTCCTCCTTTGCCCTACTCTCCTAGGTCAGAGGAACAACTCCATAAACAACGAAAGCTCATTCTTAACTTCCTCTCTTCAAGGAAAGAAGACTGGGGGAGAAGGGAAGAGAGAGACAGATGTACAGAAGAGATAGGCAAGCAGACAAACAGACAAATGTGTATTCTTGGATTTAGATGCCCCCTCAGTAGATGTCCCCATGCCATTCCATAGAAAAGCACCCCCTATCTTAGAATGTGGGTGTGTCTGGTGCTTCTCTCCTGGCCAAAAGGGAGCTGGAGGCAGGTTCCCACTATGCCTGGGGAGGACAGAGACAGAGTGAGAAGGGACTTGCGCATGAGATCTGCACTAATGCAAGATGGAAAAATCACATCTGCTTCTCCACCAGCTGCTCTTACACACTCCTGGGCAAAAGCCAGCAGCTAACTCAGACAGCTGGCAGGGCCAGGGAGGTACCAGCATTGGGAGGATGTGTGTCCAACTGCTGTTCCCAGAGTGATGCTAACAGTGGGTCGGGCCAGGCCAAATCCTGCCACCCTGTCAATACCCAGCCCCATCTGTGAGGTCCAGGTGTGGCCAGTTGGAGGGGTGGGAGCCACGGAGAGTGACATGTGGGCAGGAAATTATTGTTTTCTTGACGATGAAACCAACGCCCTCTAGTGGGCACCCACCCAGGGGCTTGCCTTTCCAGCTATGTGACCTAAGTCGTTACTTAAGCCCTGACTTCATCTCTCAAAGCCTCAATCAAGAATACCAAATGATGGCTAGTAATCTGTAGCTACAGGAGCTGTTTTGGTCAAACAATTAGTCCCTCTAATTTGCACTCAATTACTGGGAGCTTTCACAATAGTCCGGTGTGTTTAGTCTGATCTTTCTCACGACTGAGCTACCTACAACCTAATTAAGAAATGTAAGAGAGTGGTTGGAGCAACAGTACAGTGGGTAGGACGTTTGCCTTGCATGTGGCTGATCGGGGTTCAATTCCCAGCATCCCAAATGGTCCCCCAAGCATGACCAGGAGTAATTCCTGAGTGCATGAGCCAGGAGTAATCCCTGTGTATTGCCAGGTGTGACCCAAGAAGAAGAAGAAGAAAAAGAAAAAGAAATGTGTAAGATAGGGGGTCAGAGCAATAGTATGGCAGGTAAGGCACTTGCCTTGCATGTGGCTGACCCAAGTTCAACCCGCGGCATCCCACATGGTACCCCAAGCCCACCAGGAGTGATCCCTGAGTACAGAACTGGGAAGACCTAAGAACAGCCAGATTTGTTCTGCCACCAACAAAAAGACATGTAAGAGTGGTATATGTTGTTGTTCTCTGGACACAGATTATAGCCAACGAAAGAAATGGCCAAGTTCAAGGACTCACCCTACTTCACACCATAGCTGGGCCTACTTAATATTTTGCAATAAAGATACACTAAGATTGAGTGAGGATTGAAAGGTGGGGGTCTCACAGCATGAAATACTAGAAACAGGAAGCTATCAGTCCACTCGGCTCAGGGTCTTTCTCCTTTGTTTCTCCCTGACCTAATAAAATGGGAGAAAGGTACAATAATGTGTGATTTGAGGAGAAATCAGAATGGAGCAATGCCGTGCTATGAACCATTCACTGCTGGAGGTGATGACATCCAAGTGTTGAGTCCCCTTGGCTACTAGCACAGATTTAACCAAGAAGCATATTTATGCCCTGGTATACATTTATATACTGTAAATATATTAAATACTGCATATGAATTATATATTGTAAATATTGTGTGTTTTTTGCCAAATGTGATAAGCAGACATCAATATGTCAATAGGTACAGAATAGAGGGCTCTTTAGCAGAGAAAAAATGTTGTTTCCCCTTTGTTTGGCTTTTTTTTTGTACCAGGAGGGCGGTGGCTTCACCCTGCAGGCCAGTGAGCACCTGGCAGGGAGCAGCAGTGGAAGGAGCACCATGCAGGGAGCAGCAGGGGGTGGAGAGCATCCTTCAGGGAGCAGCAGGGACAGACTGTATGAAAGCACCAGAGTCTGGAAGGGACAGGAGACTCCCCGCAAACACGGGGAAAGGCTTTCGTCAGTTCCTCTCCCTGCACTATCAATGACCGGGACACGGGCAGCCAACGATCACTTTCGAATACAGAGGCTCTTTGGCTTTTAAGAAAATGTATTATATGTTTTTCCAACTGAGGAGAAAGAGCAAAGGAACATCCACTAAACTGGGAGTTGTGAGGAGTTGCAAGAAAGGGTACCAAGGATCTGCTTCACTCTAGTCTACAGGGAGCTGATTTGGACAAACTGGAATGAGGAAAATGTCCTCCATAGGTTCAGGGACGGTTTGTCCCTATGCCATTATTTCAAGGACCATGTAATGCTGTCAATCTGATTGTCAGGAGTGAATAACAAGCAGAATTCTGAGGAACACTGTAACCTAAGTAAAGCAGGGGAAAACTAAGGTATTTATAAAACACAGCGCTTGCTTTTGAACATTTTCACTATACAGTTTTCTAGGTAGTATCTTTCTAACCCTAAACTTTATGGGGCCAGAGAGATAGTATAGTGGGTAGGGTGCTTGCCTTACATGCAGCCAACCTGGGTCGATCCCCGGTTCCCTGACCAAGACAGGAGTGATTCCTGAATGCAGAGCCAGGAGTAACTCCTGAGCACTGCTTGGTGTGGCCCCAAAACAATATCACATCTTCCAAGATACATTTCTACTCTCTAAAGCAGAATTTGGGTTTTCAAAAATAAACTCATGTTTACTTCCTTGAGTATCTCTGAGGTCACAGACATTGTCTAGATAACTACCTCACTAGAGCTCTGAATAGCTCAGTAAGAGAAGAGAGAGAGAGGGTTGGAGTGATAGCACAGGGAGTAGGGTGTTCTCCTTGCACACAGAACACCTGGGTTCGATTCCCAATATCCCATATGGTCCTCCAAGCACCACCAGGAGTAATTCCTGAGTGCAGAGCCAAAAGTAACCCCTGTGTATATCTAGGTGTGACCCAAAAAGAAAAAAAAAGAGAGCGAGAAAGAGAGAGAGAGGAGAGAGAAGAGTCATATTCATAAGTCCTATGCCAATAGCTTGATTTCACTTGGGAAATAAACTTTTCCAGAATTCCCACCAAATGCCAATGGGTCCTTTTCCAGCTAATACTACTGGGCAAAATGGGCACTCTTACACATCCCAGCATTTAGCAAAATAAGTATTTGGCAAAGTGGCCAAGAATCATTACATGCCTTCTCAAAACTTCAAAGTAATCAGCAACAGCCCAACAGAGAGTTCCAGGATCTACTATCTAAAATACTTTCCATTCCTAAATCTTCCCTATTTTTTCTTGCTTTAGAGTTTCCCTTCCAAAATGCCTTTGGATGGCTTTTCTTTTCATACATCATACTCCCCCAAACTCCAAGTCTGTTTCCTCCCAGACCAAAGTGACCTGTATAGAAGCAAAGGGTTGACACAGTTCCAGGAACCAGGGGCAGGGCTGTACCAGTCTTGTTCAAAGGTTCTAGTTTCTTCTCGGAACTCAGCTCTCTTAAGAGCTGCAGAGCTCTGGGGGTTCCTCCAGTTTATGGTTCATTTCCCACCTTCAAATAAATTCCACAGTACCCACAGTCTCACAAGCGCCCCCTGAAAGTGAGATCAAGGCACTTTGCCCATGGGCCCCAGAAAGAACCATGTTTCATGCCAGGTTCCTGTCCAAGGGTGTGTCTGCCGGCAATTCCCGAACAACCACGCACACACAACCCAACCTCTAATGCACCACAAATGCAGCAGCTGCCAGAAATCCAATTAGTACGTTGCAAACAGCCAGTTCTCTGAAATGTGTCTCTTAGGAGTTTGCAAGCTCTTCAGCCACACCTTTCAATATTTCCACTGCTCTGGGTAACTGAGACTGCCCATCCAAGACCCAGGTTTGCATTCTATTGCTGCCCCCCACCTCAACAATTCTTGCTGTGTACCTGGAAAGCTGATTTTAGCAATGCAGGCTTCCTTCTCCTTAACGCTAAATAGGTTTTTGCAGAGACTCCATAAGCAAACACATATTAATCACTGGAACCCGGGAGCTAGATCTCCACCTGGCCCTGAGGTCAGCTTTGACTTGCTGCTCTTGTCAGAGGGACACAATGATTCTTCAACTCTCTACCTGATGAGATTAGGATGGTAGCTGCCATCCGCAAAATCGTGATTTCTATTTATTCTATACAAATCTTCACATAGCTAAGAGAGATGGAATTTAGGGACTTGTGGACAGTGGCAGGAAAAATCTGTTCACAGGGCCTACAACCCCTGAAGATTGTCTGGGTCCTCCTCTGAAACCATTTCAACTACCAACACCAATGATCAACTACTGACTCCAAATGATGGTAGGAGGTGAGAGGCCAGGGCTCTGCAGGAGCCGGTCATGCAGTTGGAATGTGCTCAGGAGTTTAAGTTTGAGTCTAGCCTCCAGTACGGACGAGCGCTCTGACAAATGCCTCAATTTTTCCTATGGGTTTCGTTTTCAACCTATGAAACTGGGGCAGCAGCAATTGTGTCTCTTAGGGTTGATTCAAGGATTCCACAAGACAATGCACGGAAGGCACCCTGCACAACAGAAACAGAATAAACACTCGGTAGGTGTGTGCTCTTCTACTGCAGAACAATGTTGAATTGAGGCGTGACCCTCTGACCAGACACAGTGCAGGAGGTCCTTGCTCTCATCTGCGGAGCCACCCCAACTCCCAGCCCCAGACACTGGCAGGAAGGGTGAGAGATGGAGCAGGACATGAAGGTCAGGCACTCAGGTAATTCTGGAGGAGATCTGGACTGGAAACCTGAGATCCCTACAGCAAACGCCCTTAGCACATTATACCCAAAGATCCTACTCTAGCGAATCAAAAAACTCAGGGACTTGGGAAGACTTTAACCTCAGGAGAATGGCAAAAAAAAAAAAAAAGAAAGAAAGAAAGAAAAGAAAAGATGGAAGGAAAAACAAAAGCAAAACTATCAGAGAGACCCCCAAATGATGGGAGAGAGTGATCTCTGGAGAAAGACTCTCCATCCATGCTCAGATTATTAGGGACATTTTAGCTGCTGGGTGGGGCAGTAGTCAGAGAAAGGAATCGAGATAGAAAACAAGAAAGGATTCAAATCCCATCACTGTACCATTGTTTTGAAAAAGATATCCTGGAATCCCAAGTAGAGGCTACCTGTTATAGCTGTCAAATCATCTGTCTGAACCCACATTCTTGTGTGTATTTTTAACAAGATCAAGGAAGAGTATCTCAACCTTTGTAGTATGCAGCTAATCATCATTCTCTCTAGACATGCACATGCATAAAGAGCTTATTCTAAGATAGACCCCTCCTTCATGGGACCACAGACACAAAAGCATGAGAAAAATGTACAAATGGAGTCTTTGCCCCCGAGATGGAGACAGCAACCCCCCACCCCCCGCCCACACCATGCCTCTCTTCTCCCCGTCCCTCTTTCTACAATGAATACCAGGCAGCCTGGCTAGAAAGAAATTCAGCACCACTGTCCATTCCCCTGGCTGCTGGGGGAGACGTGCCCCGGCTTTAGGCAGAGGCAGCTCTGCAGCACCACGCCCCACACGCCCAGAGAAAGGACAGAAGCCGCACAGAAAATGATGGCTGCACCCCCAGGGCACAGCATGCAGCCAGGAACAAAAGGGAACCCCTTGCAAACCTAGCCCTGTGACGGGGGCACAGCCACATTTATGGAGTGGGGTATGTGTGAGTGTGGGAGTGCGGAAGGGGGGGTTGGAAAGCACATTATCAACGGCAAACTGTGTCTCTTTTCTTAAAGGTGGCTGAGCTCCTAGAAGAATGGGCGTGGCCCTCCATGCCATCCCTGGGCTTTGCATGAGGGACCATTGCAGTCTTGAGACTAGGAAGGAAAAAAAAATAAAGAATCTTTTCTCTGTAGAGCTGGTGAATGCACACTAGGGCAAATGGCATCTACACAGAGAGCTGGAGTGAGGGAAATAAGTATTTAAAAAATGGAGCTGGTGTCCCAACCAACCCTTTTGTTTTTGAACACTAGTAAGGTGTGCATTGGAAGAGACCCGTCGTAAGCTCCTTCAATAGTGTCTAAGTCAATGATTTCAGGTGCTGGTAAAGGATGATGGGTTTGAACTCGCTCTCTCTACCTGGCAAGAGGATTCCTGATCATTCTTACTCTCTTAACCACTCGGCTCCCTTGAGACCGTTTCTTCTCAGGGACCAGCTGGATAGCAGGCAGGGGTGGGGTGTGTGGCTGAAGCTCAGGTGTCTGAATAAGGCAGGATGCCCCGACAGAACCAATTAGCCATAAAGTACAGTCCACCCAGGAACCAGAGTCCTCCTGCCTGTGCAAGGAAGGTCCTGTAGGGCAAGGCAGAGGAACTGGGTGTTCCCAGCCTAATGGAACAAGTGCTAGCAGACATGTGCCCGCAGCCCAAGCTGGCCAATGCCGGCAGTTGAAGTGCGGTGGCAGGTACAGCTCTGCCCTAGGGCGGCTGCCGGGCCTCCCAGGGGCCAGCTGATCACTTCCTTTGTTCGCCTTGCAAAGATGGAGTAGCCACCCATTCCCTCACTACACACACCCCAGCCCGTGCACAAGGATGCACAACCTCACTGATTCTGCTAAACTAACAAAGCTCAGTGGTTGGAGGGGGGGGGGGTGTTGTTTGGCTTTTTCTTTTTTAAAACAATAATAAATAATAATTTTATACCAGCCAGCTGTTGTGCATTCCTTCTATTCAGGAACATCATTTCAGCGCATCCCGGTGGAATCCGGAGAGCAGGCGCGGTGCTGGCCGGGGAGAGCGCCCGGCCACGACGGCCAAGATTCCGCTTCTCCAGCAGCCGGTCCCTTCCCCACCCCGCCCGGGGCGCACGTCCCGCGCCTCGGGCACCGCCGCCAGCCGCCGCGGGCTGGGTCTCGCACACAAAGGCAGCGGACTCCGCAAGCACCGCCGGCGTCTGCGACCTTACATCAGTCGGAAAATTCTGCCTTGTCCGGAGTTTAGGGGGAGAAATGACCGGGAGGGAGAGAGATGAAGGGGGGGGGGGGGGAATGCATCCAGGGTTTAAAAAAAAAAAAAGTTGGCCCTTCCAGCTCCGGGTCCAGCTGGTCCCGTCCCAAATAGGACGCACTGGAACAGAAACTGGGGAGCACGCAGGCGAGCAAAGGCCGGGAGAGGACCGACGGACGGACACTCCCCACCCTTCACCGCGACAGGGGCAGAGCCACGAGGCTGGCGCCAGAAGAGGGTGCGGCCGTGCGGCCAAGCATCCCTGGGCACAAGCTGTCACCTCTCCATACCCCGCCCCGCCTAGAGGACCCTCCACCACAAAGCACACCCCAACCGGGGTCAGCGCGGGGGACGTCCAGAGAGAGCCGAGAGCCCCGCGCTCTTGGGGAGTGGGGAGGGAGGCAGGGGGGGACTACCGGCTGGCGGGAAAGGCGGGGAAATCCTGCAAAGTTCTCCGCGCCCCGGTTGGGGTTTCCTCTTTGTTTTTGTCCCTCCCCAAGTATTGGGGTCGCCGGGTCTGGGTGGCGCCCGCCGCTCTCCAGCCCCGGGAGCCGGAGTTGGGGGGCTCCGCGTCTCTGCCCGGGGGTAAGGGCGGGGGGGACCCGGTCCGGGACACAGCGGGCAGGGCGGCGGCGGCGGCGGCACTCACCGTGATCCGCGGGATGTTCTTCTTGCCTTGGTAGGACATGGTGGCGGTGCTGGCGGCCGCCGCTGCCTCCCTCGCTGCTGCAGCTCCTGCTCGCCGGCGCCTTCCGCAGCGCCCAGAACCCCGCGATCAGGTGGAGCGACTGTGCGCTGGCCGCGGCCGCGCCTCCCTCGCCCCCGCCCCCCTCGCGGGCTCCCGCGGCGGCTGCCGGAGACAATAGTAAATCTCCCGGGCCCCCTCTCACCCCGACACCCCCCGCCGCACACACCCTCCTCCGCTCGCCTGCACTCCCGACCCGGGTTGCAGTTTCTTTCTTTTCTTTTTTTTTTTTTTAATCCTCCTCCCACCCTTTTTCCCCCCCCTTTTGCTATGCCAGCTGAGATCCGGTAAGACACAGAACGGTGGAGCCGCGACTCCTCCTCCAGCTCCTCTCTGATCCCTATTGATTTTCCGCGCTGCGTCGGCCTCACCCACATCCCACCCCTCCCTCCCCACCCCCTTGGCTTTTTTGTGTGTGTGACGGGCGGGTGCGGCAGCGCCGGTCGCCGACACGGCCGCCAGGGGGCGCGAGGGACCCTTCGGGGCGGGGATGCTGCTGCAGTCTCGGGTGCAGGAGAAAAAAAAAAAGAAAAAGCCACGCGGGCGTCGCCGCAGCCCGCCCCGCCGTCACGGGCCCCGGGGCAATGCCGTGGCCGCCCTCCAGCCCCCGGGTGCGACCGGCCAGCCCCGGTGGCCCCCTCACTGCTGCACGGCCACGGCCCGGGACCGCCGTCGCCGAGCCCGCGTCCCAGCGGCTGCACGGGCTGCAGGCGGGGGGCGCTGCCTTTGTTCCCGCCTAGCGCCGGGCGTCGCCTCGGCTGCAAGCCGACGGGTAAACAGCAGGCGCCGGCCGCTTTAGGAGCCGGCCTCGGCCCCGACGGCGCAGCCCCCAGCCGTCTCCGAGACAGCGAACCGGCCGTTTCATCGGCGGGAAACAACGTTTCCCCTGGCAGGCTGCGACGGGGGCAGTGGTCCTCCACCCATCTCTGTACTTGCGAAAGAGCCTCCAGATCAGGTCGGCGCAAAGGAGCCCCTGCGCTCGCCCTCCCGCTCCTTTTTTAGTGTCTCCCTGGAAAGAAGCAGTCACAAACACCTGTGGTGGCGAGAGCCCCGCGCCTTCCTTGGGGGTGCAGCGTGCACGGCTGCAAGTCGGGGTGGGGTGGGGTGGGGGAACCGTGTGCGCCGATCACAAGCGCGGGTTTCCTCTCCGCGGGGCTGAGACACAAAGGTCAGTGTGTTACTAGGCGCAGGAGAGAAAACGGCCTCTTAGCCCTGGGTTCTATTGTCCCCTTAGCCGCCGATCACATCCAACAGTCGAGGAGGACCTCTTTGGAGGAGCCATGTGGGTGGGGGCTGAGTGGGGAGTAGGGAGGAGGACCCTCCGAGGCTCGCCCCCCAAATAATCCCACGCATACTATTAAAATAACAAGTGGCTTGCTGCACAAAATCACAAAACCTTCTCAACGCCAGACTCTTTCCACTGCGCACCCCGCCCCCAACAATTGTGGGTCCCAAAGCCCTATTCTGCGATTGTCACTAAGCTTGACTGGGTCTGCATTGGTGATCTTGAATTTCTATTTCTATAAAGCGGGCTACTGACCACACTTACTGCACATCCTTTCATTAAACTGAAGGTTTCCTTTGCCATGTGAGAAGCTATATAAAGGACCCGGACGAGAAGGATACAGAATACTCCAGCTTGTGCTTTCTGTAACTTGGAATGAACCAACCAAGCCACATAAAGACAGGGCAGACATGACGTCCCCTTCCCCCCACCAACACTCCCTCTCGAATGAATTAATCCAGGGTTCCGGTTTTTCATGGGTAACTGGACAAAATGCAGTCTTCTCAGGCAGACTCCACTTTATTTCTGCGCCACTCTGGCTAAGGGATAAATGCCAGGCAAAGGTCACCTCCCTGCAAAGCACACGGGGGAAAGGGGAGGGGGGGCGGGGGTGCAGGGAGAGGAACACTGAAGCCAGAGGTACACCCTGAACATTTTGCTTTGTTCTTGAAGCATAAGTGCTGAGACCACTAGCCAAGAGTTGTGAAATTACAAAGCATTCTGGGGATTGGCATGCAAATGAGCAGGATTATATTTGGAACCGCGTAAAAAGAGAACTAACTATATGCTATAAAACCCTGTGGAGCTCCCTGGTATCTTTCCCATAGATTTTACAACCCCAAACTTGCTTGAAGGGATCTTGTAAATTCTTTTTTAAAGGCAAAAACTAAATAGGAAACATTTACAAGACTAAAGAAATACCATCGACTTTAAATGTTTTTTTCCTGGGCTTCTTTGCATCCTAATTATCTCTTGTTACTGTCATTACTGAACACTCCCTACTACATAAATTTATACCAATTTTTGATCACTTCATGATCCTGTGTGTTTCTGTGTGTGTGTGTGTGTTTCTGTGTGTGTGTGTGTGTGTGTGTGTGTGTTGTTTCAAATTACAACAAGCCTTGCTTAAACTCTTTGTGGTCCAGTTTGCACGCAAGAGATAATGCAGAGTAAGAATTGTGTTGTGTTTGGGATCAGGGTCCTGTGACTAACCATGCACAGAAATGCATAATAACCAGCTAACTAATTCAAGCTGTACCCATCACCAAAAATACACAATGAATGCAATTTCTTTCCCCTCTTTCATCCTCTTCAATCAAACAGAAACCCATGGAATAAGAAGAAAGGCAGTCACCAACACAGGATGCCTCTGTGTCTGGCCAAGAGAGTGAGAAGTGGAACAAGCATGGCTTTTTGCCAGCAGAATGACACTGAATGGTTTTCCTTGGATACACCGCTTGACTTTATGTCACTAAAAACTGTGAGGAACGGAAAGGGAGACACTAAGAATTGATGACTTCAAAGAAACAATTTTGATCACTAAAACCCTAGCACATCCATAGACTTGCACACCTCAGTCAATACATTTTATTTTAGTAGCTCATGCCAAGGGTTACCGCCATCCTGATTTCCTCTCCTGCAAACACACTTATATGCGATGTCAGGGTATGCTATTCGGTCTGCCTTTAAAATATAACCAGGCACTGTATTCTCTCCATTCATATCTAGTCACCAACAGCTGTTACACGAACACTGCAACATGGACCTCCTAACAGGGCTCTCTCCTCATCAATATCACTTCACAATATCTAGACAATATTTGCCCTGTGCTCACTACACATTATCATCTTTTTTTAATTCTACAATTTATTTAGAAATATAATGTAGTAACTTTCTAGTAGGTTTTTGTATTTGAATATCTTGAGTATATTCTATATACTCTATAATATTCTATATATTCCATAACATCAAGTTGATATTATAAAAATTGTTAAAAAGTAACCTAATTTCTTCTTCAGATTGTTGTCTAAATATCGTTTAATGAAGTCTTTGTTTTTTTATCTAAAAACTTTTAAAAATATACAGACACACAAAAAATGTTAATTAAAAACAACAAAATATACAGACACATATGGAATAAAAGCCAAAATTATAAAGTATTCTATAGTATGTGCCATAAGCAATACTGATAGAAAAATCCTTGACACAGTTCCTCCTCAAAGCATTTAGAAGTTCAGAAAAATTTATGCATGGAAAACATGTAAAAAGGTATCTATCAAAATGCTAGCAGTAATTTTCTCTGGGTAATACACACATTATTATCTTTCTAGGACCCTAGCATTCCAGGGATGAATAATAACCCTCTCCCCAATCTCTTGGGGTTCACTCTATAGCCTATTCAAAACTGCTCTGTGTTTTAGCTATTGATTTTCATGCTACTTTTCGCATGTTAATTTGTATTATTCTTTTCCCTACCACAGGAATGTAAAGTTCCTGGGGCAGAGGATGTGTCTTTTCATCACTGTGCTATATCTTGTGTGAAATAGGGTCTTCTCCTTGAAATGACTCAATAAGAAATATAGAAGTTAATGTAGGAATTGTTTTAGTAGTGTCTGAAGAAAGAGTAGCACTGCAGTCCTCCCGTTGTTCATCGTTGTTCATCGATTTGCTCGAGCGGGCACCAGTAATGTCTCCATTGAGAGACTTATTACTGTTTTTGGCATATCAAATATGCCACAGGGAGCTTGCCAGGCTCTGCCAAACGGGCAGGATACTCTCTCCATACCTTACTGGGCTCTCCAAGAGGGATGGAGGAACCGAAACACAGTCGGCCCACGTGCAAGGCAAATGCTCTACACACTGCACTATCACACCACGTAGAATCCAGATGTTCCTATAATGAAGAGCCGATGGCTAGAATCTACAATCTAGAGGCCAGAAAGACAGTACAGAGATTAAGGAGTTTTCTATGCATAAAGCCAAACCTGGTTTCATCCAATCATTCCTAGATACATCCCTGGATATATCTCCCTTTCCACCCCAAATTTAAACAATTTAGAAAGTAACCATATCTTTTCTGTTTTCATTTCTAAACCTTCTTAGAGTTTCCTGATTCTATATTTGTTTTTAGGGAGTTGGGGTGTGTGTGCAGAGGGGGCATTTATTACTAGAGAGAGAGTACAATGGACTCCAACCCAGAGAAATGTGCTGTTAAGAATCCAGATTTGGGAGGAGAGGGACCTCTATCCATATTCTGATTCCCCTACTTTACAATTCTATGACTTTCAGCATATTGCTTCAACTCTCTGAGTCTTACCAATCTCACCTCTAAAATAAGCACCTTATTACTTACCATACAGTATTGAGGTGAATGTGCAGTAATTTAGTCAACTAATATTTATATATACTACACTTGATCTGAGCCAAAAGGCCGAGAAGCCCGCTCTGCTGGGCTGGAGCGATAGCACAGCGGTAGGGCGTTTGCCTTCCTTACATGCAGCCAACATGGCCGACCCGAGTTCGATTCCTTCGCCCCTCACGGAGAGCCCGGCAAGCTACCGAGAGTAACTCGCAGAGCCTGGCAAGCCACCCATGATGTATTCGATATGCCAAACACAGTAACAACAAAATCTCCAATGGAGACGTTACTGGGCCTGCTCGACCAAATCGACGAACAACGGGAGGGCCTTTACCTTTACCTTTAATATTTATAGTTTCTACTACAGAAACCTAGGTACCAGGGATACAAATATTTAAATAAAATAACATCACTGCCCTCAAAGGCGTTCATTCTAAAGTAGGAACAAATCAATCAAGAGCAAAACATCTCA